AAGTCCAAACCGGATAACATCCTCCGACAGTTCCGAATATCAAATCCAAATGACATACAGAACAGTACGTCCTACCAATTGCCATCCTCATCATTCACTTCCACTTGACGTCTATGTCCTCGCCGAGCACTAACAGTCCATCCTATCAGGTATCATCAACTCCTTTCCAATGTGCGTCCTTCTACCTCCTCCTATCCAACTTTTCTCGCAACGACACGTTGTGGTCGCTGACTGTCACCTTCCCCCAACTTGAGCTTCACTCTCCTCAGTTTCCAAACACAACCGGGATCACTCTAGGCGACAGTCTGGTACTATTATCCATCAAGTGTTGACGACACTCCTCAACGCCTCTCATCTGTTCGACCATCTCGGGTCTGCAACGACACCCGTGCGAAAACGTCCGGGGTGGACATCATCAGTCTCGTATCCAGCATCATAACTAGCAGGTGATGGAGACTCGCAAGGCGAAGCTCGGGGCCGATCATCCCTCGACGCTGACGAGCATGGCCAACCTGGCGTCGACACACTTGTACCCCAGTTGCTTGGTTACGCCGTCCTCTCCCTCGGCCTGGGCCTGGGCGTCTTCTTCTTGTTAAGGCTACCCTATATACCATCCCCGGGCTGAATAGGTGTCAGAAAGTTAATGAGGTCTTCGTTGGGCAGGCTTTGCAGTTAGCCAAGCTGTCTCCTTTGGAACAATCTTTGAATGAACCTTCTTGTAATCTGGCGGCCATAGGTCGGTGTCGCGTCTCACCAAGGACTGACATCAAATGCGGGCCTCCAACAGAAGAGGTACGGTATGTACCTACACGTAGTGTAAACAAAGTATTGTACGTACCTTAACTCGCCTACTCTGGCCGCGCTTATTTAGGGCGGGAAGTCTACCCACCCAACGACCGACGTCCCAAGTCCTCAGTTTCTCCCGAACCAAAACACTTCTCTCGTCATGTCTCCCACTTGAAGGGTCCTTTTTGTCCGTCCCATCCGGACCTCTACCCACCCTGAATCCTATCCATCTTAACACAACGGGGGTAACGCTCTTTCAACATGCCAGTAATGTGTTACACTACAACAGCGGGTTCATTTTAATGCTGTCACAGTATAAAATTGGCAGTATGGAGTCATCATACTACAGACAGTACGGAAACAAACGCAGTCTTAGTCTTCGCGATGACACAGTACTGAGCTATTTACCTACTAGGCGGCGAGAGACAAGGCGACTGCATTCGTATCTCTCCTCATCAGACAACTTGAAATATTCCCTCACCATTACCAAATAAGTGAGGTACTTCAGCTGATTCCACCTGCCCTCTCAAGTCAGCAAGTCTGGTCTTTCACGAGGTGAACACTTACAGGCCTCGCCGAAGTCGTTCTTTCAATGTGCCAGGATTGCACTGACGAGGTACACGTCGAGGGCAGGAGAGCCTTGCGCTGGTACAGTAGTTTTCCACTTCCGGACACCGAACCTAATATCCCACTTGTCGCTGCCCCAATCGTGCTGCGGCGATCCTTAACGAGAAGCTTCTTTCCACCTTTGGGGAAGTATTGCCTGCACGCCGGCCTGGCTGAAAATTCCAATGGAACGAAAGAGTGAGATCCCGGGTGTGCTGGATCTGGTTGGGTGGAAAAAACGTGCTTGGCGAGAAAATGAAATGCGAGTTCCCCGTTTGGAAGGGAGCATTATCGGCAATTTCGAATATCCAACCATTTAGCGAGGACTGGGAAAAGGGAAAGTTGAAAGAAAAAAGAAGACGAAAGGCAGCATGGAGGTGGCCTACCGTAGAAACTCGCGAAATAGGCAATAGGCCTAAACCTCTCAAAGTTTAGGGTAAGGCAGATGTTGGCTGAGTCAGTGTCATCATACAAATGTACATATGCCCGCCGTGCTCTGGCATTCTAAAGCGGGAGAAAAACTGTGCCAATCTTCCCCAGGCAAGAGCAATTAAAAAGGCCCGGTTGACCAGTCCCCGATCAGAAACATTGCCCTCCGCCTTAACTTACATACATTCGCATGTACAGGAGGCGGGCTTGCACTGGCAGTAACCCACCTCTATCTGCTAGACTTCGGCACTCTAAGGGCGACGTACTTATTGCCTATTTCGCGAATTTCTACGGTACCCGAGGGACTCGCTTCGTTCTTGCCTATCAAGGTGCGCGAGACAAGCATGATGAAGGCGCAGAGGGATGTGGCTGCTGCATCTTCATGCTGTCAGATTGGCGATAACGTGGGGTGCGTTGGTCTCAATTGGAAGGAGCAGGTTCTGAAATGAGCTGAATTGGGCCGGCCGCGCACATCAACACACCATCTCGATGGCTCGAGACTGTCGGGCCTGAGCCTAACGATTGGTAAGGTAATCATTGGGTATGGCCGGGCGGCAATGGCGGCAGGTGGGGGTAATGAAGTGGAGGGAAGCATCAGGCTGTGTGTCTGTATTCACGCAGTGCTGTTTCTCTTCACGCAGTGTTGAGATCAGGGAAATGTTTTTGTAGGTCTCGATGGGGCATTCAGCCAAGTCGGGCAACCGGGAGTTTGCTGGTTTGTGCTCATCCCGAACTCATTCACGTCCTTCCTCAGATACCGGACCAGAGTCATCACTCTTATCCGGAGATTTATCCCCTGGCTGACCTGGGAACAAGCTCTTGCTCATCATGGCAGACATCCTGTCATTCAACGTCCCGCTCGTGGCTTCGAACTCGGAAGCAGCCAGCTACAAAGTCCACAACGAGCCTGGCGAAGTCCACCGACCCTACATCACCGGGACCGACCAAGACGGAGCTACTATCGTGCAGGGGCACCTCGTCCATACCATCCACGGCTTTCACTCCGCCTGTTTCCCGTCCAGCGCCCGGGCCCTCGTCTCCACGCTCGACGCCAACGACCAGTTTTCTCGAATCGACGAGCTCGCCACCGGCCGCGGCAGCAACCTGACACCGTGCACGCTGATCGTCATGAGATGGGACATGATTCCCGGGCGCGCCTCACGCCGCTTCCGCTCCGTGCAGATCGACTTGATCTTCTCGGCCTACGGTCCCCGGCGGGGCGTCGCTCCGGGTGCGAGCATGTCGCATTTGGATCCCGTCCCAAAGAAGCTCGCGCCCGCGACGCCGCCGGTCCGCGGGCAACTGATACCCACCAAAGTGGTGAAAAAGACCGGCTTTTCCGGGGGCCCGACGATCGGCTACGAGCCGTTTGTGTCCGTCTCTGGCGAGTACTCGCGCGATCGCGAGGTGGAGGCCCTGTATGACACGTCGTGCTGGATCAGCGGGAGACCGAGGCATGTTGGACGGGGTACGGGCGGCGCGAACGCTGTTCGGTTCACGTTTGTGGAGAACGAGGCGTTGGGAACGGGAGTGCAGAAGACGGTGTTCACGGCTGTGTTGCTGCAGAGAGAGGAGAGAGACGCGGATGGGCAGTTTGCGATGAAAGTGAAGGTTAATTCCAAGGTTGATTGGTTCCAAGACAAGAAGACGAAGATTAGAGACGCTGTCGGGCTTACGGAGAGGGACCATCCTGTCATTTTTGACCCTACGGTTAGCTACGTGGTGGAGGAAGGCGAGAGGGTTGAGAGGAGGGATGCGAAGAGTGGCGTCGATTGGAGGAGGTTATGGCACGCGGATTTGGGGAGATTCTTGGAACAAAACGAAGGGAACGCAACCCATTGACCAGCACCTCCATGCGCCGTTCTGCGTTCTGTTCATCTAGATTCGGTCTTCAACTTGCTCACAGATGCTGTTTCGGATCACTGGACATTATCATAGTTTTTTTTTTTGTTACTTCTCTTATCTACTTTCATGCTCCGGGCTGGTCGTGGAACCATCCAGGAGGCAGGGCAGCATCCCATTCCGTCCAACTCGGATATTCAGATTCTGCTCCGGCCGATTGCATCCCTCAGCCCGGGTATATAGTGAATGAGTCTGTCTACAAGAAACCTTGAACTTATCTTCTCCAGTTCATTCTCTTCGAACTTGAAGAGTTTCGCAAGGTCCACGTATTTCGTTTTAGAATGCTCGTCCTGCAACCCCTTGAACAGCTGTTCCATGAGCTGTTTCGGTGTAACCTTTGGCTTAATTTGATCCCACTGCACCCCTACGTCGTTTAGACAGAATAACACCAGCGCCGCCACGCCAGCAGCCACAGCTGTTGCGACCGAGTTTCCACTATCGGCTGGATCCTCAAACACGTTGGTTCCTGGGAACAGCCATTCCGTGTCTTCGAGTGTGACATACGGCTTTGGCTTGCAGTGAATGTCGGCCGCGCCAACCGTTTGGGTTAAATTGCATCCGGCTGGGTAGTAAGTAGCGCTGGCTGAGTCATCCCCGCGGGTGTCCTTGGCGGCGCAGTACATTATGGGCGGTTTTGAGTATGGACTGTGGTCGAGGAGACGGGTTAGCTCGTTGGTATGCTCCTCCACGGCTTGGGTATAGCGAAAAAGCCAGGACATGGAGAGGATATCAGCGTCGCGTTTAAGTGCCCACTCTACCGCCTGAATGTAGTTGGTGTTGTTAGCAATCTGGAACCCCGATTTCTTCGACCACGGAGTATGGAATAAGATAACAGATGTGGGTTGGGAGCGTACCTTTACTGCTCTCTCCGGATCAAAAGCAGGATTACCAAGGTCAAGCTCATGGTAGTTGTCCATCTTTGCAACATATATCTCGACGAAAGGGCAGATTGTGGAGATAACCCATGCCATTTTGCTGCCATGTTGCTTTGTCGATGTGTAAAAGGGCACCGTTTTGCCGTCCGGTGTTCCCAGCGGGAAGCCATTGTTTGCCAAATACTTTCCCACACTTTCATACTCCGGATCAACACCGTCATCAACTAGGGCCACTTTGACTCTTTCGATAACCTTCAGTCTGTCGCTCATGTTGGTTACCATGGCTGCATTGAATGCCTTCACGGCTTCAAAGCCTGGATGAGTTCTGAATCGGGCCCAAGGTTAGCCAATGTCATGTGTTGCAAACTATGTTTCTTACCTTTGCGGCACAAAGTTTTGGGCAGAGCGCTCAGGTTGCTTGACAGTCGGCTCTCCGGTTTCAATCCAGGCTGTTATTATCTCAGGAGTCTTGGTGGACTTGATCAACTCCTCTGTCTCTCGCATCTGCGCATCAGTAAGGCGATTGGTATCTAGCCATGACTTGATGCCCGGTGGCAGGTGTTGGATTTTCTTGCTTTCTTTGGATGAAGATGCAACCGATTGATCATGCTTCTTAGTAGTCGATTGATCGTGGCTCTTGGCAGTCGAATGATCGTGATTATCAAGGTGTTGTTCAACCAATCTCTTGATGTTTTCAGTGTCCAGACACTGTTGTCTCGTTGTCCTCAAGATTCCATACACACTGTTCGTGCCAGTTATCCTCTTTTTAAACCTTTCGACATTCTTTTTGTTCCGGTCAGGGCCTTCAAAACCCTTTGAGTAATTGAGAAATGTCAGCTCGCGAATAACCGTTCATAGCGTAATAAAAGCAAGTGAGGTGAGACTGGGTTGACTACAACTCAGCGGTGTCTGCTTACCATTTTCGCGTACAACCAGACCTTCCTCAACTGGGACCCAAGGACATTGTTAGAAGAAAGGTTCCAAGAGATTATAATATACCCTTTTGTCATTGACTCACTTGCCGCAATTGTACCAATCCCTTCGTGTCTGACCAATGATGGAACACGGCATTTGTTCCAGATGAGTATAAGGACAGCTCAGACAGGCCTTTGGCCTTGCTTATGGTGTTTAGCGAAATGTCTGGCTTGTCCCAGTCCAAGAATCGGATTTCATCCATATGCTTCAGGCAGCATTCGATCGTCTCCTCGCTGCAGTACCGATGAGGGTTGTCTTTTACTTCCAGATACACAATCTTGTTGACCCCCTTATCATTCCTAAGCCATCTAAACACGGACTCGATGTTCTTAGCGTCGTCGGCATTTTGCTTTTCACGGTCCTTGTCATTCAAGAGGATATACGACCTGTCCGGCTGTAGGCTGAGACGAAGATAGGAAAGTCTTGGTTCGAAGATAAGGAAGTCGTACAACAAGCGGGTTTGAGAATTCACTCGCCGCGGATGATGAAACTCACGGCTCTTGACAGCGTTGCTTTTGGTAAGGTCGGGAAAGAGAAACTCAATGGCGTTCTTGTAGCCTCCAGCCACCTCGACCACCTTATCCTCCAAGTATTCCGTGAGGCGGTTGGAATTGGTGTAGTTGTACTTCCACTCGTGCGTCTCAGTATGCTGAGACTTACTGTCATACCAGCGCCCCAGGTCATGGTCCGGAATAACTTCAGTTGATCCGTCGGGTTTGATGCGTCCGTTTGGCTTGATGTGGCCTCCAACTCTGGGGTTCAGGCCCAAATCCGGCATTAGTTGCTTGTCGTCTACGGTCTTGTGCGGTTGTCGCGTCGCATTTAGCCTCTCTTCCGTGCTCTCCTCCCTGGTGGCATGATGAAAAGCGTAAGGGCACTGGCCGAAGGCATTTTGTTGCTTCAGGACACCAGGGGCTTTCGTAATTAGTGCCTTGACCACGCCGAAGTAAGTATCGTAGTCCGGGACTTTATGATTTTCCTCATTGGCGAAAGTGCAGCTCTGGCACAATCTGGAGCCACTATTGCGGTCTTCCAGATGTTTGTCAAGATCGAAATGAGTGGCAGTGCCGGTTCTGCGTTGCCTTTCTGATAAAGAAAGTCCGCTGTCAATTCTCTGAACTGGCTTAATGATAGGCGTATCCTCGTTGCCGGCGTTAGTGAAACCGGCACCAATGTAGGGAGACATGGATGGGTCTGTCATAACTAGACAAGGGGTATCTTCGTGAAGCGCAACTTTGCTGAAGTGTAGTGCATCGTGTAAAGGCGTGTTTCCAGGTTCCTGACTGTTAGTCGAAATCCGCATCTGGGTCAAAGCATTGTTGGCATTTTGAGTATCAACCAAGTTGATTATGCTCTCTGTGCCTTGAATGTTGTGCCGGATGGCCAGATGAATGCAGTTCTCATCAAGCTCATTAACCATGCAAATTGCATCGTTGGGCTCTTTCATAAGTCGACAGATCTCAGATGTAAGACCCCCCAGCCTGTCGCGGTCATATGCTTCTTGCTCGATAGCATGGTGTAGCAATGGCTTCCAGTCTGGAGCCGATCGTGCCATCATCTGACTCGGGTCCTCTTTCAGAACTATTCGTAGCAAAAACAATATCATGCTCAACGGCACCATCCTAGCGAATTCCAAGACGGTATGCGGGAACGGCTGCTTGGATGCATTGCTTTGAAGGCTGCCTGGAGCTGGTTGCTTCTCCAGACATTTTCTGATGCGAGTTCGATATTGAGGTACGAGATTTGCGAGTTCCTTCAGCAGTTGTCTTGCTTCATCTGTCGGATGCGATCCAGAATTGATAGCACTAGCACCGATCTGGAACAGGTTTGCTTTCATTACTGCCTCTACAGGTAACTTCTCGCAGATGTGTTCTAGGTCGAGACGTGCGTCTCTCATAATAGTCGCTGGGTCGTTTGAGTTCTTTTTGACCGGTTGATCGGTGATGGGGGGCTTGTATCCTGGAGACTGTCTGTGCTTCGCCTTGTGTGTTTGCCCGTTGTGAGCCTTTGGCTGCCCATGAATAGCAAATACGTCCGGTTCTTCGCCTTCACTGCTGTTGGCACCATTTTCGTTTCCATCATCGAATATGGGCTCCGGATTATTTAGAGGAAATGGTGGATTTGCCATCAGAAAGAAAGCAACTTCTTCCAGAAGTCGCGGGCCGTAGGTGGTGGTGAAACTGCTTGTAATCATTAGTTTTTGATTTTGCTGACAATTTCTCCTACTAATCTGGTAGCTCAGTCGTACAAGATGGATGGTAATAAAAAGAGATGACCTATTATCGACAACGGGGCGATGGATTGATTTCTCGTCTATGGGGCACAAGTGACTAGTGGCCCATTCGAGAAAACTTGTTGCGGTGACTTTCGTAACAGATTGCAGGCAGGTCAAAATCGACGAGAAAAGATAAGGTATCGATTGGGCGGTTAGGTATGAAAAAGGAGTGCAGGGAAGGATATCAAGAGAAGGATGCAGGTAATTTAGAACTTCGTTAGTAAATTGATTCCAGTCGCTCGAGATAACTTCAGCAAGTTATTTTGGCGCAAGTCAATGTTCACTCTCAAAACCGAGGGCAAGAAAAACTGGAACGCTGCTTCAAAAGAGGGAAATGGCCCTTTGCCCATCAGTCGTTTCCATTGCCCACGGGTTGAGAAGTCGGCCTTTCCTGCAGCAACAAAATGGCTGGGGGCGGAACTGCAATTCGTGCAGCACTCCCGTCGTTGCAACAAGCCGTGCAGGGTCGGTCATTGCCCGCTGCTGCATGCCGCCTCCTTCCTTGGGATAACAGACATCCGTCTAATGTGACGATCTCATAAGGAAGGTGCAGTCAATAAAGGTGACAGTGCGTGCGTCGTCAAGTGTCACCGCAGGTTTGGGTACCACCATCCCACTCACGGACAATGTGACGTGCTCAGGAGCTCACTTACTCAGCTTTCAGTCCATCGAGTAGGTACCTCTAGTATTGTTCACCCCATTGCCGTTCGGTCATTCATCACTGCAACCCCTTGTTCTAGCTTTCAATTCAATGACTGTCTTCCAGGCACCAACCAAAGGCATGAACTGATACGCTGTTCTTCCTTGCAACTTTTGCTCTGCTGCATATCCTGACCGTTCATTACCGCATGCTTCGGCTTTCCAGTTCTCGAGCCTCTTTCTGTATCTACAGTCGAATAGACCTCACGAGAAAAAGCATCTTCAATCCGCCTCCCAGGAACCTTGTCGCCGGTTGCCCTGTCGAACTCATTATTCCTTCATACCGTGGTCGGCTCCGAATGTTTATGAGCTACAGAGCGCCGAAGGAGCATACCTACTTATTGGCCAACCATCGGGCTATATCTAAGTTCAGACCATGGAATCACCTCCCCCAGATGAGTCAGGACAGAGGGTTCTTGATGATGAAGTCACACCAAACGCCTCAGGCTATAAAGTTCCCTCCAAGTTGATGTGCGTGGAGCCTTGAGTTTGCATTTTATCACGCGTGCACAAGAAAGTTATACCATTGCGGCTAATTATCTCTCGTCGCTAGGCTTGTTATGGTCCATGGCGTCAACACAGTATCGCCATCTCCCCTCGTCATGTCAAGATCTGGACGGGCCTGCTCGACTATAGCCAACTGACAACACTGACGTTCAGCTACTCAATCTCAGACCTACTGAGAGACAAACCTGTTCAGTCGGCATTCGTTAAGCAGGCTGACCATCTACTCCGAGACATTAGAGGGGTAAATCCTAGCCCATCATGGCTTGCGTCGCTGATCCATTGAAGCTAATGACTAGCCTTAGGCCCCTGAGTTTTCAGACTCCCAAATAGTCTTCTTTGCGGCGGACCTAGGCGGTGCAATTGTCAAAGAGGTGAGTCTTGCCTGAAATATGTTACTACGTTGATCCAATCTCATAAGTGAAAATGCATATAAATGGGACTCACTAAGTTAAATGGCTTTGTCGTCTGCAGGCACTCGTTGTGGCAGCTTCACGGACTGATGATTCCCGGGAAATAGTCAGTAGGACTACCTTGGTGGTAAGTTGATCACCACGCCCCGTCCATAAACTATTGCTAATTTGTATAACAGGCCTTCTTTGGCTCCTTACACAGGGCCGAAGATACCTCCGAATCGGTCTTACTGCTTGATAAGTTGTTCCGTGAGGCAGCGGACTTCGTATGTTGGTCAACAGGGTATCCTCAACTACTCGTCGGGCTTGCCGTTTATCATGAGAGCCTCGCAAAACGATTTGACTGTGCCGAAAAGCCGTACTATATTATCACCGTATCCCAACAATGCCAAGTAGGGCCCTCCAAGAGCGACATTGTAAGTTATTACATGGTTTCTACGCATTGGACACCTCGCACATTCAACTAACTGCAATACGTGTGCGTCCTAAATGAAGATTTTCCCAGAGCCCAGCGTCAGGATTTCAACGCAAAACGAGATCTTGTTCGGTCGTACTTGTTGGAGCTCCCGCGCATT